TATAGAATGGCAGCTAAAGACTGCCTCAGATCTCCGGTACACCAGGCTTGCGGTACGGTAAAGTATCATAAGTATATGGTCAACTCTATGTATTACTACATAATATATAATTATATATAGGACGTCTTATAACATTCGTTATAATATGGAGCGCTGGTGAATACCATAGGTCCATAGCGACATATCCCGTGTAGACAGGCTGTGTGACTACATATTTTTAAAAAATAAAAATAAAAAACTGATTCATCTCAATAATCGCCAAATGGGCGGGCGATTGTGATGCAGCGGGCCAATGAAAAATTCGAATTGTTGGCGCGGGAAAAAATCGTGAATTTTTTTATATCTTTTTATATTTACGTAGAAATAAAGTATTAAAAAAAAATTGTTCGTTGGATTGTTCCGAGCTTCTCTGCCGGTACAAATATTTACTAAAGTACATGAATTCTATACTAACGTGTATAGCCGCAGGAAAGACTTGGCAGTAGAAACAATTGCAACTTGAAGGTGTGTTAGTAGTGGATGTTTATCTGTACACATACCTATTTGCATAGTTATCAGTTCTCCTAGCGTATACTATTTCATCCTACAGATCTAGCGAGTCTGGTAGCCAAGGCTAGGAAGCGGACAGTTTTGTGATCATCCAGAAGGCTTGACATGGGACAATAGATCCGTATGTGGACCTGAAATATGCGCATTTCAAATCAACCATACCAAAAGTTCTTCCTACTTATTCATACTCGTGATGCGAATAGACGAATCTGAATTTTTAAATGGCGTTACGAAGGTTTAGAATATAAATATAACTGGCGGCAACCCTATTCTTTTCACTGGACAGGAGTGTTATGATAGTACTAGCATGTCGGTCGGAGTGATTAACATGTGCCTAACCGTGATACATCAGTGTAGTCGACTCACCTCTATTATTGATCAACTTTACAGATATCTAAAACAACACCATGCCGACAGCCGATAAGAACATCACATATTCCGACAAGTACTGTGATGAGATCTACGAGTACCGGTATGCATACTACAATGAACCAATTCGTTAGACAACGTGCAGGAATAGTTATAAATCAGTCTATATGGTTATGTTTTCCAGCGCGAGAGTAGAGTGTAAAACTTAAGTTATGTGAATAAACAATAGATGAGATCAAAATGTCGAATTTGAAGCTGTCTCTATTCCAGTTTTGGTGTAGATGGTGTAACCAGACGATATCTTCATATCAGTGACTGAAGACACGTGGGAGCATAGTATGCGCTTCCACAGGCTCTTTAGTCTACACGGAGTAGAAGTTATATATCCTTTTTGATGGCTATACTGCACGAGTTTAATGTATATTCCGAGAGATGTTCTAAATATGCACGTGTACGAGCTATGACAGGAGATTATATTTTGTTCCTATTATATCGCAACTTGTGATTTGCACTGTATATTTACTGTTGAACATCACACTGTCCCAATATATTACAACCATATTCTTGCTTGCGTATTTGAAAGTTTGTGTATATATACTATCGTTAACTTCAGCTACACAATTCTTTTAAGCACTCAGCGCACCCTTCAGGCTTACTGTAACCATATATGCATATATGTATGTTTGTCAGACATGCTTGCTTTCACTCCTCAATGGTATCTGCTACGTGGTGTCTATGAATTTTACTCTTCTTTTGCAGCATATCTTGTGTGATGTACTGTGTTAAATCAAATCGGCCTCACAACACTAGTATCGATTTTTTTATAACAACCATGTAGGGGTGTGTCGTAAATTGTGACATTGCATGCAACTGTCGCATCCAGCAGGTTTATCCCTTGAGTGAAAAACACCCCTGTCACTATCGTATCACTGTACCACTTCCATAAGGATTTACCACCATAAGAACTCAACCTGTTAGAACCTTTCGCGTCTACACGTTCTAAATAAAATGATCAACTCTCATGCCGCACACCCGCACAGTCACGTTACTCTTCCAATGGACCTTGCTCAAAATACACCGAAGGACAGGCTTATGACTGAGTCGGAGTGGCGAAAACTGGGGATTCAACAGTCCCGAGGATGGGAGCACTATATGATACACAAACCAGAACGACACATGATCATGTTCAGACGAGAACACCACCTGTCAAACAACCCTATGATCTAGCTCAGTGATGAGAGCAACCTGCGGAGGTATAAAGTCAATACCTCATTAAAGGAATGGGTTCTTTTGTGATTTTGGGACGAAATGCGACTTCGAACACCCTGCCGATAGGGAACAAGACTTGAAATGGAGACAGCATTCGAGGTTTTGGAGGTGGAAAGGGAAACGAGGCATCATGTGCGCGGTAATATGGCCGAAGATAGCATTTGACCTCTTTCTGTGTTTGTGAATCGCTTTTGAGCCGGAAAAAGATGTCCTTCTGCAAAACACTTACGAAAATTGGAAGACTGAGAGTAGATCAGGGCCGTCTCGTAACAGTACAGAGGCAGCTTACGGCATTAAACTGCGAGATTGTTGATTCTCAGAATAATATATTTAATATATGGCTTTTCTTGCAATTGAGCTTTGTGCGCACGTGCTAACAGAACTTAGTCCATTTTATTTGTCTTCGGCATGTAAGTTGCGAGCACAATGAGGTCAAAAGGCCACTTACCATTGCGCTATTAACAGTATGTCCTTCCCGCATACGCAACCTACGGTTACATGCAGTAGTAGCACACAACGCTCACAATGTAATAGTGAGTAGCTGTCGTACCCCAGATGCCAGCATGAAAGCATCTAACTGAATACGAGTCTCATTATGCTATGTAAAACTTTTTTTAGCTGGCATTGTCTTGCGTTACATCCGGTATTCTTTCCCATTACTAATTTCATTCCTGCTGACACTACATTTGGGCACTCTCTCCTAGTCGTACCGCGCGAGAAAGCCACACACATTCTCGATGTGGTCGTACATTTGAGACATCTTCTCATTGCACTGGAAGTTTGTGATAAACGAGCATGAGTTAAGGGAATCTCTAATGTATAGGTTTGGTTTTACGGCCTGTTGGGATGATTTTGCGAGGAATCTTATTGAGTAGTCCTAGCCTACGATGACGATGTACCGTGTGGTTTTATAAGCCGTCAAGTTAAAATTTTGTAGGCCACAAAAGTAGCTGAGCTACCTTAATACACTATTGGGATTTTCGTGGTGCATATAGGTATCAGGAGAGTATTTAGTAGTATAGAGGAGTGTACTATCAATTCTGAATGTATATATAATGAGTATGTGTGCTCCAAGTATGTTAATTTATATATCTAATCTGCATGTGCTCGTAAGTATGCATGTAATATACCCTAGATATATCCTACTTGGAGTACTGTTTCATGTATTCAGTACGTGCACGTCTGGCGCGCTTACCAAGGTTTATCATATCTATAAAATCAATCACCGATGGTGAGTTTAGCTATAAATATATATGTAACTAGATGCCTGCTAGTATAAGTTTGCTTGCATGGAAGGTGCGCGCGGTGACAACCTACATCGGCTTGAAAGAAGTAGCCATCCTGACGTAGAATATAATCAATTCCCAGATTGGATTTGCCTGATCGACAGAACGAGCTTTTCTCCAGCAAAAGAATGGCGAAGATAGCATCATACACCATCACCTATAGGGTTATGGAGAGGCATTCACAGCATCACTCGACAAGACCTTGTATTTGTACCGGGCTATATCCTCAAAAAATGGTTTACATCTCCGGTGTAGTATGATCTGCGCGATCATATGATTGTGTTTCAACTCCTTAGTTACTTTTTCTGTAGTTGTGTTGTGCCCGCTTCCGTTTGACTTGATTCAAACCCTTAAACTATTATCCCGGATTCTTTTTAACACGGTGTTGAAATTTATATTAAGACAAGTGATCTCATGTGCTCAAATAGTACGAGTGAGTCTCAGTCTGACGAATATTCTTAGTCGGAAGCCTGCACTTGCACTTTCTCAAAAACATTTTGTTCTTGTTTGTGATGCAATCACGGCGTCGGCTGATCGCGATGTATTGCACGTTTCAGCTGTGCATGAGTGACTGAAGCCGTGATACAGTACGTGTGTGATGTTGCATAACATACGGTGGCTAAAACAAAGAACATTTATTGTTGATGATTGGCATTTTAACCAAGGAGACACATACCTCTGCGCGAAGATTTAGACGTGTGTATGCCATCGCAAGATTAAATAGCGTTTGCAAATCGCGCAGCCCCATGTTAGCTCCTCCTTGTCGACTGCAGTGCATAAGAGTACAATGAGTATACTTCACGATCTATGTGAAGTCATAAAAGAAGCAGTTATAATATACAACGGCTGTGAGAAATGCGAAAGGCTTTACTGTAGGGATAATTTGATACGCGCAAAGAATCTTTCTACACGTCAAGCCCGATACCATGCTCCGCTTAAATCGATTCACAGCAGTTGGTACACAACAGTGCAACTGGGCACATTATGTTGCTCGAGAGAAATGCGCGCCATACTGTTCCCTTGACCCTCGGCCTCTCTGCTGATTTTGTGGTACACAATATTCTACATACATATTTGTCTTCGCGGTTACCTTTGATGTATATCACTAATTTCAAGACTGTAGATTTGAGCGAGTATATGAACAGGAGAATATAACTCATATTCTGAACATGTGACAAGATAATTATTACGTACTCTTTTTTAAGCACCAATAACCTTTGTATCCCATTACATTAGTACATGACTATATTCAATGAGTGATCTTAAGGTTGTACGATAAGTGTTTGGCACGGCTTCGGAACGCGGAGTGCAATTTCACTCGCCCATGCAAAAGCTCCTCTCTGACCTCCGAGTTGCCGGCAAAAGTCCGTGTTGTGAATTCGTTTGTTTACACATATCGAGTGGTGCAGTTATATACAAACATATTTTGAATTTTTTTGTGTTTCCCGATGCATATAATTAACTATATAATTGGTCCGCCTTAATCGGAAACAGACCGGTGGTGAGATCTCTTTGGTATCACACACCTACCTGGAGACGTAGTACCCTTGAAGTGCATCCATGGCCTCGTGCGAGTACTCTACCTCGAAAGAACCCGCGTATGCCAAGTACTACAACACGTTAAATACAATAATTAGCAACTCGGACACGTCTTGGAGTATGAGGAGGAAGCATATACTACTGCATGTAAGTTGAAACACGCGCTAGAACTCTATTCATGACTTGAACATTATTTGTGTATTCGAAGTGGCTACATCAAAAGCTACCGTGCACATTGAAACTACCTCCATTTGCCAAGCTTTGCATACATTCCATTATGTACCATGAGTGCTATAGAGCGCTGGTGCACATGTTTCGATTGCAAAATATACTGATGATTAACAGCAGTATATACCTCACACAGGTCATCAGGCGTGAGTGTTTCAAATGGGTCCACCCCTCCACTTTCAACGGACCCAGAAAGAATAGTGAAGATTTTAGTTGTTTATTCTTACTGCAAAGGTGACATCTGATCAGCTGTTGGTAATTGCCCAATTATAAGCAACTCGTCCAGAGCCATTTTGAAGTGAGACTTTGCCCCCACCTGGGATCTATCCATATACTTGCCCATATCGCTTGACAGAACTATCCGCACATGTACACTACGCTCACACTGGACTGCTTGTTATAGCATTTTAGTAGGCGGCAAAGTCAGCCTCACTTGCGCTCAAAAGTGAAAATCAGTGTAGCAGTATAAATGGTTTCGACCACAAAACATCAATGCTTATACATAATGAACACAGAATATCGTGAAGTTGCGAATAGCCACTTTTGAATCTCATTGAAGGGGTTTGATTGGTTCCAGAGATACACGGGCGAAAAATGCACACGACAACTCAACACCAGAATGAGTTCGAGCACCTCCATTGGAAGAGTCGCTCATCGCAGGCAGCCTCATCATGTCTTCGATCCAGTGATCCCTCGATGATCAAATGAAATTTACTGCATTCAAGGCCAAACAGGTCGATTTAATCGGAACCTACACATTTTTTGCGCTGGTAGGTCCTATACGCGGCAGAAAGGTGGTTTCTAATACAAAAGTGTCATTTCCATTTCGATGTCCTAACCGAATACCGCCCAAGATAAAGAAAGACAAAACAACGAAAATTGCACAATAACTTGTGTTTCGCGCTATCAGGACGCAATCAGAACCTATTCGAGATACAAAGCCGTCACTATCAGCGAGGGTATATTAGAATAAATACACTATTATCTGCAATCAATACAGGAATATAGCTTACTATATGGTGCATAAGACCTACCTTCGCAGTAGCTCCGGTAGCTTAACCTGGATCTGTACGATTGCACAGTACAGTCAAGATTTACAAAATCAGTAGATTATTGTGTGTTTGTGAAACACAAAATAAAAAGGCCTGTAGCTGTACAACATCAGACAACCGCTACAGTAGCAATACTTGTGAGGAACTAGAATTATTCACCAACAACAGACGATCATCTCTTACCTGAGACACGCGAGTGTGACCAATCATCATTGTGAATCATGTGCTTGGTTTGAGCGATACGCACGAACAAACTCCAATTTGGCTCACAAGAGCAATCTCCAAACCTGGAATACATTTATTTGCGAGCTTGTACACCTTTACTTTTCTATCGGACACTGTGCTTGTGGTACGGAAAGACGCCACTGACGATGCCGGCGAGCTACTAACATCCTTCTCAGTCTAAACCTCGAAAAATACAGCATGACACTCAGGTTAGAATACAAATGGTGATGTGCGTGTGTATGAGTAGCGGTAGGCTATTGTCTACCTCTGATTGCTTCGTATAAGATGGGCTTATTATTACTGTGGTCGCATTGGTACCTCGATCTCTTTGAAATAAAATTGACTTTTGAAAGAGACATGAGGCTTCGTGTTCTTGAAATGTCATCGCAACGCTTGGTCACTTGTGAAGATTGTTTGCCAATATTTATGCGTATTTGTCGAAATACGTGCGAGTCTTTCGCTACTGCATGGAATGACTGATATATGGTTTTTTGCTTTGATATCAAATATTTCGATTTCGCTGATAGACTACCTAGCGTAGACAGCTTCCAATCTGCAAGCTAGTCAGACATTTTGGAACCCTGTGTCGAAGTATGACTTCCAATGCCCATTTACCTGCGATCAAATGAACAGAACGTACAACATGCCTCCGATACATGGTTACGCACATTATTAAAACTATACCTCACTCGTGGATTCGTACGCTAGTATGTTTGCTTGGAAAGGATAGCGTGTGATAATCCTCATTTTTGTGCTATATTTCGTCTGTGAAGTTTTATTCACCTCGACATCGATAGTACCCGACGCCAGAGCTGATGTTTTGAGAAAAACGATGAGCATCTCACATGTCAAAAAAAGAAAGAGATCCTGTAAATCACACAAGACTTCCCATATCGAACGTACAGTAAAGCTTCATCACGGCGATTCAGAACATTCCTATCATCCTGAAAACAGACTGTAACAAATACAGCGTACTGTAACAATATCGCGGTATATTTGCGGTATTGTATCAATATCACGAGGCGTGCGTGAGTTGAAGGACATACTCGCACATTCTTGAGATTCTTCGTAGCTCTAAGTTGTCAGTACCCAATTTCAAAGGTGATTATACTATTGAGCTCTGGCTGCGATGCCCTGAATTACAGAGCACAAACAGTTAACGATTTTATCTTTTTCAATAATGCATCGAAGTGCTCCTGTTATTCAATATTTTCACAATTGTCACAGCATGTATGATCCTCACCTTTACTTAGAGCCACAAACAGGGCCAACCAATGTAATGTACGAAACGGGTGCCGTCCCGTGAATGCAAACATACCTTGTGCGAGGCTCCGTTGTTCAGACTTACTCAGCCGACTAAGTTCGTGCACAAGACACAACCCTCGACCCGCCAGCAGTATGGTTCCCCCTTTTGCCAAGGGAATGTGCATGAATGTGCATGATACATTTCATTATACAAGGGGCATTTCTCAACCGCACCAAGTGTACACGCTTAATGTTGTGTTTGCGGAACTCTGCAGTTTCTTAAACAAATAACATGAGCTTCACTTCATGAAGGCTTGGAATATACTAGCTTTGACTAATACAAACTTTAACAAGACAGATTTCAATAATGACGACCCGATAGAGTCGTAGCCAGGCAGGTGAAAGGCTAGTTGTAGTAGCCTTCAAGTGAAGTGATTGATATTCACTCTAATACCATTGCCACTCTCACGCCCATGCGGCAGCTATATAGTAAAGTCTGATGTTTGCCATGCGCAAATATAAAACAGCACCCATCTCTCATCCCATGCAAGACTGGCCAAACATATGTGCCTTACCGGATGCAACAGTCGGGCGAAGGCGGCTCGCAGCTGACGTTGTTGGTAAGAGGTGGGTCGAAGTACTTCCGCTAGTGTGCTGTATTGCAAAGATAGTCGAACGACAAGTACATGCTAAATGCGTATGCATACTTTCATGGCATAATTCGCACGTGACTTTATAGAAATATAAATCGAATCTGCGCAGTGCGATGATTTATGAGTACAAAATACGAGAACAAGTATGTGACATAAGGGCAATTCTTTAAATGGTCCACGAATCTGCGAGATGCTACAAAAAGACAAACTTTAGTCAAAACACACACTAACGCAACAAGCACAAAATATCCAGAGGGTATGATGGTCATCGGCAAGCATTGGCGCGTACATATAAATAGTTATGAATTGATTGTGCTGCCAATAATACTAACTATAAGCAGCCTGACGATAGTTACCAGCATACAATTTCAATACAGACTTCTTGCCTGAGTGGACTGAGTAGCCAGTCCGCATGCCATGATACATAGCCTGGCAATTTCGGGGTCATCAGAACCTATTAGAACATCCAGGTTACAGGGCCGCACCTCGGACAGCGATGGATTGTGACTGGGCTTCACAGGTTCGATATCATTGACGAAACTATGTGAAATGTCTGAAAGTAAAGTCGATAAAATTCCAGCAATAGTGAGCGCCCGATACGTTCATCATTTTGAGATACCATGTGAGTTGTTCTAGGACGAATACATTTTAATAGCGTTGGCAATCGCAAATAGGAGAGGTACAACATCACAGTTCACCTGCTAGAATAAACTCCCAATGAGATTTAAAAACCATTGTGCTTATTGCAAAACATCACATCTTTCAATTTGCCTTGACCTAGACTAAATATTATTGACATTTGCAGAAAATCTTTAGAGTAGCGAGTGTGAAATACAAAGCGAAATACAAGCCAACGGGAATCTCTATGGCAAATGAAACGACGCTTGACCCTCATAACCAAGCACGCGATTGTATCGCTTGTCTAAGTAGATTCTAGTAAAGCTTCATCTCGCCTTTGTAGCTTTTTCGTTGTATTACCGAATACCTGTATGCTCGGCAGATGTATTCGAATACGTAATGACGAGTTGAATCAACAGGGCAACTTTTACATCCAGATGTGCCTCCATTGGTACTAGCAGCCCTGTACCCGAAGTATGTGACTCCAGATTTCAATGGTGCGCAATTGATTGTCACTATCGTCAAATCTATCCAATCGTAGTAGATAAACTCGCTCCTTTACGCAATAGACGCAATCGTCAACGCGGTGCTGATTGTATATCGTTAAACAAATCACAGCGAGCAAGGAGCAGAAAAAATAAATGCAACGTCCAAAGCTACACGTGCATATATGAGACAGACACCTTCAATACTTGATGTGCTTTGATGACAAGCAAAACATACTGTTTGATCAAACATGCCACATGTAAGGTCAAAACACACATCTTACGGCCGAATTCCCGAACAAGGCGATTGATGAACTGCCATCCGTGGCTGCAACCCTGCATCAAGCGGAACACCCCGTTTGCAGGTGAAAGTGGTGGCGGTAGCTATATCAAATACGAGCAGGGAACATGTTGGCTACAGGCATGTCCACGTTTTAAGAAAATTGTTGCTGACTTTTAATTGCACAATGCTGCGATTAGAAGTATTGAGCTCATAGACTGATGACACTGCTTACATACAGGTAAGTAGGTACAGTGCCTAATGTAAACCTTAATTCTGCACACGAACCTTGTTCGGTGGAGGGAAATCATTCCAAACCATGTACACCACGGGTAGCGTGTTGAAACCTTTCTTCTGGTACGGCGGCATATCCTTAGTCAGCGATGCAACGACCTCCACACATGCGCCTATATGCGCGACTTCGAGTGCACCTTCTCGCACTAGTAGCTCTGTGCGGCAGTTGACAATGCTTGACTCCCGATTGTATGGTGCTATGCGCAGGTGTGTTGCGTCCACCAATCCTGGGTATGGTGAGATTGTAGAACGTAGGCATGGGAGAAGAAGCTGCCGTGTTCGCGTATAGATCTGACTATAAGCCATACAGACATACACGCAATTGGGAGCTCCGAAAGGGAAATATACTGATGCTGTAAACATCATCGAACAAAACCACTGCCCAGTGCACCATCACGAACATGACAATCACGCTAGTAAGACACATGATTGATGCCTACAAAGTTGATTGGTAGTTGTCATGATGTTGTCCCTTCCTCAGACACCTATATGTGAGCAAAAGACATATGGCAATAGATCTGGTATGTCCAGGTAGATGCACAGGTACAAGTCAGCAAAAACGTACCTATCAAACGCTGAGTGCCATACACTCGGTATCGCTCATCTTCAATCAGTGTGCCTGAGCAGACCTTGCACACTAAATGCGAAGGATAGCAACTAACCACAACAACTGCCTTACACGTGTCCACCTCGCATACCAACCGCATCGAACGTGTGTAGGGAATGTTCTCTGAGATGTCGAATATGATGCCAAATATGCGCACAAGCCCTCTTCTCTCGTATGCATGTCTGCCTGAATTGTATCTCCCTTTCTTTTCCAGCTGCCGCACAACACCGCCAAAATGATGTAGTTGCATAGACAGTAGCAGGCGTTGACCATACATAGGACCGCTCAGCATCGAGCGTGTGCCTACAAGGCTCGCGAACACCGCGCTAAGAGTACTCCGAAACTCGTGAGGATTCTGCAACAGGCTCCGGCATGCATCTGGAGCATTGCTAGAAAAATCTACCAGATCGAGACTCAGAGATATGGGCACAATGTGCAGCTCACTATTCGCAGCGCCAACCCTCTGCACATGCGCGTAGCATTGTTCAGACAAATCTTGCAACAATGCGGCCTCATTGATATTGCTAATCAAATAGGTACATAGCTCCTCGTACAAAGTGGTGGTGGTCTCTGCGTCTGCCAGTAGATGTGGTGCTGTCAAATGCCCCTGTACGCTAGTCGAGTCCTTATGACTGGTAGCCACCTCAGATGGTACCGACTGGTCGACTACTACGGATACACCATTCAACATGCCAGAAAGTACACTATCTTCCATGGCATCCATATTGTTAAACGTTTGTTCGAATAACCCGTCGTTAACGTCAGTGCACTCATCTCCTCTCTCAATGCTACCAATACGGCGGAATAAAGACTCGCCCCCACGAGTGCATTCCGCACTACCATTCGCACTCGGTAGCTCACTTTGTGTATCACCGGAGGGCTGCGCGTGATACCTGAATCTTTCCAACTTAGAAATTGTGCGTGCTCCTAGATTCGTGATAATTGAAGAGGCTTGTATTGTACTTGGACTGTCAGGAGTCAAAGACGAGCGGTTGCACTCAAGCATCTCATTGCGCTCGGGTGTATGATCCTTTGCATGTTGAGTATTGCGTTCACTATTTGAAGCCATCGGTGTGAGCTGCTTTCTACTATTACTCGCTATCATCGAGTCAGAGTGCGTAATTACTTCTTCGCCAATGCTATCATCACCACTGACATTGCTCAACGACTGTGGTGTTGAGGGTTGCGTGAGATCCGGCACCACCGATTTGTCATGTGTAGGTATACATCCCACTGAGCATATAAACTTAACGGAGTGCGCCTGTGTTTGCGGCTCTTGGCCTGGCTGTAAAATAGCGTGAGAGCCTCTTGGCGGATGTTCAGCAGCTTCTCCGCCCGTGCAATTTTTTACTAACAGTTCGTCATGCACACATACACGCTCCTTACGAAGCGTGTTGATACTCGACGCTCGCTTGCCGAAAGCATCCGATACACAATTGCTGACTGCACCAGATCCAGCGCCTTTCGATAGCGTTCGAGTGGAGGACACGCCAGCAGATTTCTCGTGGGATAACCAGGGAGTTTCTATATCATCCTTGACCACTTGTGGTACAATGATCTCCGTACTCGCATAGTCATCTATCTGCACTGGCGTATTACTCGCCGGGACAGATACAGACTGCACCACACAATCGACTGAACCGTTTTCCAACCCGTCATTGGAGCTTGATTCCGAATTTTCGACATTTGACGTAGCATTTGTGTAAGTATCCATATTTAGTTCACCACATTCCGCAGAAGTGTCCCTTGGTAGTGCCGACGATATGAGGGATGCTCCGCTGGGTACTGTGCATTCGGAGTCATGTGGAGAAGCCAGAATGTTTGTGCAATTGCTCAGGCTCCGCGCAATGATGGCGGTACGCCTCAAATTATCGATACCTCCTTGGTCACGCGCAATACCGTTTGCAGCCGGTACAGAACTGTCAAACACAAATCCACTGGCCTGGTCCCTCTCGTCCACTCGTGGTGTCCCGTTTCTGGCCGTCACGCTGTGGTAGTCTATTGCAGGTGCTGAACGAACTACCTGTACCAAACTTCCCTCATTATTCACACAGTTGCTATTAGCATGATTTGGCAAGGCTTCGTCTATACCACTTCTCGGCACCCTGCTTAACTGCTCGTTATAGTTTTCACTCGTACCCGTCTGGTTTGCTGTTTGTTCTAAACCCAAGTCCTCTTGCAGTAAAACCTTACCATCCCTTGGCTGCTTGAAAGGTTCGTCAGATACATTAGAGTGTGGATCTGATGAGTTGCCAAGAGTAGCGCTCTTGGCTACATTATTCGCATATTTGTGTAACGTTTCGGTCGCAGTTGATCGTCTTCTAGGCTGCAGTGGGACGAACTTCTTGTAGATTGTCTGCCTCAAACACCGAGTCGGCACGTTGATAGTTTGCGAGCCCGACATCCTCTGTTGTGGCAGTACGTGAAAACGCTGACATTAGCATAAGTAAATTGTCGACCGTCAGCGATACGTTTAACGCTGTGATGACAGCTACATAAACACAGCCAGGGTGTGATCACTTGTAATACAAATAGAATCCTTATGTCAAGCATCGATACCAGACCCATTTGATAAGTCAGCCGTACTTGGCATGGAAACGTCAGTCGGGGACAAGCTCATCAGTCGAAATCTCATCCCCTGATTACATCCCAAGGGCAGCTGTGAGATCGAAAACAATACCACAAAGTATAACTGCACACTTGACGTAAATAACACCCACGAAATCTATAAACAGGAAAAACTTTGATATGTGCAGATCTTGTGCGTTACATCTCTCGCCACTGAACTAAGCCAGGTGAAAACAGATAAGTGTTTGGGCTTGACACTGAAATGTTGTCATGGAACATTTCCCTACGACGTGCGCAGTACAATACGTCGTAGGCCGTCGCATAGAAATCGATGGTACCGTCAGATGAATACATAGTTTTAATATACCACAATGAACACCAGCCATTGTAGTGTCCCTTGAGTCATGATTTGAACTAGCGTACAAGAACTCTCACATACTCCATGAGAACTACACTTTAGTGACGCATACCATTCCTTCAACTCAAAAGCTCGTAAGCCGAGAATAGACCGGTCATGCACGCTTGACATCGAGCAAGCCCAAGCCAGTTACGGACTAACGATACTCACTTGCATGGTAATGAGCTCGTCCACGCTTCCTACAGATTAATCACACACGCTTCACAGTCATTTCGAGAATAGCTGCAACTTGTGCATAAAAATCTCATCACACTTGGGATCTAATTTTTCTCTACTGCAAGAAATAAAAAAGATGATTCTCGTTGCAAAGGCTGAATGGATACCCGGCAAGCAACGTTTCGACATATATATTAGTATTTGATCATGATATTTCTCGAACACATATAAATATTAGTGGAATGATTATTCAATAATGTATCGATTGTACAACGGCCAATATTCATAAAGAAACGGATGGCGCCGTCAGATTAATGCAGGTCGACTCAGCGAAGCTCATGTATCACCTCGACTTGTCTGGCAATAGCTGAGAGCCTAGTTCATAGGTTCGATACGAATACTCACTATATTCCCACTGACCGTCCGCATACAAATACGTTTCTTATGTAGCCCACATCATAGCATGTGCAGTGTATATGTCTACATACTACGTTGTTCATTTATATATGTAGTTCCCCCAATACTAAACCCCCCAAATATCCGTACAAAATCAAAATGATATGTATTACGTGTGGCCCCGCTATGCGCAACGCGACTGTGAGTGGTGGGATTTCATCAGCCCGCCAACATTTTATTTAGAGATTGCGTACAATTCTTTATTATTACACCCGTGGGGCCGTGTTATAAATACCCATTCACTCTCGCTTCAGTATGTACTATTTTTATTTATAACGTTCCGATATCAATAAGGACGCGCAGTTTGTGAAGTGTATGCAGATAACGGCTTTCAGACCTCAGATTCCGGACGTGAAAGTCTGTGCTTTTTTAGTATAAAGTAGTCAAAGTGTGTGAAGCCTAGATCGTGCTTATATGTAATTGCCAATTACTGTAGCGATTAGAAGCGGTTTTCAACGCCGCACGCTTACGACATTATGGCCAAGAAGGCACGCGCACAAAAGCGTGCACAGCGGGAAAAGGAAAGTCCAACCAGCAAACGTGATAGTAGCGAGAATGCTGAGGCTAGCGTGTCCGAATGCGACAAACACGTGGATGAGACTATGAAGGTTAATAATGTGCGCCGAAAAATCACACACGTAACAAAGAAGATTCCCGAGATGCAGAACAAATGCTACGAGCTTTGTCTGACATGCTGCGAGCTACTTCAGGGTGATATTACAAGCGGTGACAGTCTTGAAGTGGATGATATCGATGCACTCTTAGCAGGAGAGGATAGTAAAGATGGAGGCGGTAAGGTGTGCACGGTAGAAGAACATATTGATCAAAAACGCTCTCACCACGTGACATACCGAATAGACAAGCGCGATGTGTGGTGCTACAAATGTGGGCACAGTGTGGACCCACAGAACTCGACTGTGCGTTCACTGGATCAAGTAGTTACTTTGATACACCAGAACTTAACCTTCTTGGGGGAACTACGGCGCACTACCAGTCCACAGACCATGCAGAGCACGCCTGTAAGTGTAGGCCCTGCTGCAACGTCACGGACTATCTCAAAAACTCGACAAAATGCTGACCAAGAAATTGCAGGGGCATCTGGGGGCGGTATGATCAATCACATGTCAAGTTGTATTTAAATTGTGATTATAGTGATCCTCTTCGCAGGTAGATCTGCATAGCCGTATTCATAGTCAATAGTGTGTTCGCTTTTCCGTGACGTGTCTATATAGCTGGCAGCCACGCATAATATGTGTATATTGTCCCATAATTTAGTACTAGGTGTACATACATACATCTGTATGTCAACGCAACTTAGGATAGACAAGCCTACGTAAGAGACAGAGTGCCAAACAGTGTTGCAAAATTGGATACGTGCAGACGATGTAGTTCTCAAATGCATCGACTGGAGATTTTTGTATAGCGTTTCGTTACAACAAGAGCATCTTTTTGCTGTTGAGTTGCCTTACGTCCTTCGACACCGTATTGTGCAGGTAGCTCATCGAAGCACAAACCTGTAGCATCGCCATTTCACGGCATAACACATTCGTTGGTCACTGTGTCATCCTTCCTGATTCTACTTCATGCACGCACCACCTGCGCTCTTGCAGTCACCGGTTTGATTAATCTGGGCAACACATGCTTCTTCAATGCGGTCATGCAGAACATCTGCCGGGGGGCTGGTGTAACTCAGTACTTCTCATACACCCGCGAGAACCGGGTCGACTGTGTGGATGGGTTCTGGCTCACTAGCGGTATCGAATCGAAGGACAATAATACAAGTGTGAACGATGATTCGAAAATGGGCACAGATTCGAACTCACGCCCACAGAGGAAAGGCAAGTCTAAAGCCAATAGCGTGGGCGGTTTGGTTAGGAACTATGTTGAACTTGATGAGTATCCGTGGCCAATAATAGACACGTTCCGAACTTTGCTATCGGACATGAACGGCTCTTCGACCAAAGGCACCGCCAACCCGAAACGACTATTTTTGGAGCTGGTTAATATCGCGCCAAACTTTGAGGGCTATCATCAACAGGACAGTCATGAAGCACTCAGGTATCTAATGGATGGATGGCGAACGGCTGAGAATGAGCGTAGGATGCAAAGCGTGCCGGAGAAGCTTAAGAGTAAAGGTATGGTGCTTTGTAGGGCTATAATGATGTTAGCGGTGCGCGATTGGCATTTCCAATAGCTTCATTAATAACGGTTGTGCTTGTAGTAGAACTAAGTGCTGTTGACTATAGAGTTCTTTAAAAAGTTACATTGTAATAGGGTACGTATCTGTGGACCCTGATAATACAGTATACGATCGCGCGCACAAGCCCACAATTATACATCCTTCCATTGCTCTTCACATCAAATCCCTGTCTGTTACAAAATATAAGACAATATACTCTACAACTGCTCATATATGTCCTGCATTTGAATTTGTCGAACGCTCGAAACTACAGGCATGCGGGCCGAAGAACTGGGCTCATTTGTAGATACCCTGTACGGAGGGAGAACGTGCAATACAGTACTCTGTCACACGTGTCAGAAATCGTCTGTGATGTCCGAGAACTTTTTCGATCTTTCGTTACCGATGCCCAAGGTATGACTCTTATGTGGAATATGCAACGCACTGCAGACGTCGCTGACTTGCTTCATCAACGCAAGCTGAACGTTATATATATATTCTAGTCGTGATAATAACTGTAATGTAGTATCCCTTGACTTCGGCTTTTGTTGACCATATTACAAATTACTCAATGTGTGCGAGTTGCGCACCCACCAAAAGGTGCTTGGCTTTTTGCTGTGTATGTGTTCAATTTGCTTGTGACTCTAATCCATGACTAAACTCGTACAATGCATATCCAGCTCGATTACAGTGATAGCTATGCATCTGCTATAAAAACTACCGGTAGCGCACCCCGCTTGAGTAAACATCAGAAGAAGATGGCGGCACGCAACGAGAGGAAGCAGAACGCAAAAGGCAAGCGAGCTAATCGGAAGAAGACCGCCGCACAGACACATACATCTACAACTGAGAACGCGCCTGAGGCTGATCACACTGTTGCCACGGGAAATGTGGAGGAGAATGATCGTGTATCTGAGACAAATAATGCAGCCGAATCTGAGCGGCCAAGGGAGGCTAATCGACCAATCGATTCTGTGCAGGTACCAGAGGTCGCCCAAATATCTGACACCCCTAGTACTTCTGGGACTGCTTCGATGTCTACCACCTTGATGTCTGCAGCACCAACAGAATCTGCTAACTCGGCTGATGATGATTTGGTAGGCTTCTCAAGCGATATTGCCGTCGAAAACATATATGAAGGAAGTGAAGATTGTAGACGTGCCGATCCCGTAGATGACGCTTACACTGGCCAGGAGTCTAAGGCTGATATGAGCGTCATCGAGACGAGTGTGATAGCTGATAGTTTGGATGCAATCGAAGCAGCCGGAAATATTAAGGGGAAGGAAAGTTCAAAGGATATAGCTGAAGTGACCTTTACCAATAGTCGAGGATTATACAGCACCACAGTCGCTGATTGTAGAAGTGACAAAGCGGATTGTGAACACGAAGTTGTCACCGTTCGTGCGAACATGGAAGCCAATGCCATTGTGAATAACATTTGTCGTGCAGAATGCAATGATGACGATAGGGGGTCAATTGAATTCGCGATAAAGGCGATAAGTAGCGCTGATAAATCTGAGAATGATCATGGTGACACATTTGAAGACACTTCCATGAATAAAAAACAACTGACGGTAATTGAGTCTTTAGAGGTAGATGAAGGCGTAGAGATGGAGCAGTCAGGACGTGATGCCAATTCTGCGACTGGAAAAATCATCTCAAGCACAACAAGTGGGAGCCCTGATACGGGTGGATCTATTACAGGGGCTGAAACGTGTCTAGTGGATGAGGATGGGTGCGATAGGAAGCGGAAATATGAACAGCAATCTCGGACGATGCACACGCACAATACTGCCACCGATAGTACCCCTACGGAGAGTCAGACGCAAGCAGTGGAAACGAGCGTCGCTCAAAGTGTTGCCTCGGCGAACAATACGATGAACGAAGATGCTCCAGTATGTATAAGTGGAGTTGATTATGTTGTGAATCTCCCAAGTGATACTGTCAAAGAACACGTGTCGACAAGTACAATCACTGAGCAGACACTCCGGGACGAAAGTGGAGAAGATGTCGTATCAACTGTCCCTGTTGACAGTGTATTGGAAAGTATGCCATCGGACAGCACGTACTCTGGCGAGCACCTGACACAACCAGACCCCGAAGCTGCCAGTGCTCCAGCGAAGAACGAGAATGCTGCTATACGGCCGGACGAGGCAAACCATGCCGTAACGATTAAGGAGTCACTGGACTGCGAAGATAGCTCGCCTATAACAAGTGATCAGGATATTAGTGCGGAAACAACGCCTAGCAAGGCTAGTTCAAGTAGGCGGCAGAGCTTACCTCGTACAGCCAGACTAAATCCAAACGCTAGGATATCCCCCAGTGCGAAATCTTCGGGCTTGGGAGGCCTGTCTCTTGATGCCTGCCTGAACGCTCTTTGCTCGCCGGAGGAGCTGGTCGAAGACAACCGGTATGCAAGCACTTCTAGCTCCTAATATGTGTGTGGTATATTTGAAACCTGTATAGTGTTGCATTTTAGGTAGTATACACACACTTCTAGTTCTTAATTCAATGTCTCTCCTATTTGTAATTTGTGTGATGTTGTATTTCAGGTGTGCGGACACGTGTGTAATAGATTGTACGAGATAGAGGTATACTCTTGTTTTTGGAAGTTGGGTGTCCGTTATCACGATTTTTCTGTGATATTCATCTGCGAACATGTGGGTGGTAGTATATGTCGACTCATAACTACAAGAATGTATTATTGTGAGTGAATGACAATATGTACCGCTTTATTTACATTACGTATCTCTCATGCATCATTTGCTGTGTCTATTCCGGTCTTGAATCATTAGTTAATTCTCAGTCTTACCATGAGATACCACCTTTCGTAATTAGTACAGGAGAAATTTTGCGCTCATACTGAAATCGTTTGTTGCCCTGACAGGTACCAATGCAAAACATGCAAGAGTCTCAGGGAAGCAACAAAATGGCTGCTGGTGGACAAAATATCTCGCATACTAACAGTTCATCTGAAACGCTTCGAGGCCAGGGGCAAGCGTATGAGCAAAATTACAGACCATGTGGATTTCCCTCTGGTATTAGATCTCACTCAGTATTGTAGGTACGTCTATAGCGAATTCTCACCTTCACGACATGTGGACTCATTTACATATTCACGAGTTCTGTATTTACATATGGCAATACGATGTGAATGAGTCTGGGCCTGCTAGTGCTACGTTGTGCTGTTAGTCCATATATTTGCGAAGTTGAAAGGGTTAACGAGGTGTTCCGTGCTTGTATTTTGATATACACGTCCATAATGTGCAAACTAAATAGCCGTTATCGCGTCATCGACAATTATTTTCTTGTAAGATGGGCAACCCTGCCGGTCAGTGGTTGCCACAAGGGACATATTACTCAATCCTTAGTCCGTTGGAGTTGTTAAATCACTGCTTACTAATCTTCTGTCACGATACTGGTTTAAAATATTGAACAAGCGCATGGCTATCCAGGGGATATGTCGACCCAGTCAAGAACCCATGCAGAGTCAGACGTTGTGGCTATGATACTCACAGACTGCCAGTGAACCGATCATCTCATATATACCCCGCAATAAACATATATTGACTTGTATCTTCTCACAATACTGTTTTACTTCCTAACAGCCAAACTTGTCGAGACCCGGACGGCAAAGTAATTTCACAGGATTCCGCCGTACAGTACAAGCTGACAGGCATCGTGGTTCATGATGGGGGTAACTTAAGAGGTGGCCACTACACAGCGTGTCTCCGCAATAAAACATCGACAGGTTGGACGTATGTTAGCGATACGCACCATCGGGCTATAGATGAAAGTAAAGTGCTGGCATCTCAAGCATCGATCCTATTCTACGAGCTAATGTCATGAAAGAGTGGGATAATTAAAAGACATCAATGAGACTTGGTTCGTTTTAATATGGTTTTGTGATCGTGTGGTCCTTATCTATACGCTTATCTATGCGCTAGCTTGGTTGCGTAGTTTTTTTTAATTTGCCCAATCTGTTCATGATAATGGTCATACTGTATGTGAATTATTAGGTAACTATGGAGAATGAAGCATAGCTGTAGAGTAAAATCACCTTAGGTAACTATGGAGAATGACGCATAGCTGTAGAGTAAAATCACCGATCCTGATAAATTGTCTCGAACTCCGGGGACGAGAACCACATATGCGGCCTTTGCTGAGTCAAATACACATCCAGGTTTTATTTGACATGCTTCCGAAAGTCAGAGTACTTTCTCAGTTCTAATGTTGCCTGCATAATTGCCTCAATGCAACAACAGACTTCTAGAAAGCAGTGACAATCGGGGTCTACGACGTTACATTGTTTCGGGTTATAAACCGAATTCGTACCTTATTACCATGCGGAGAGGATACGAACGACCCTCACACTCGTTCGGGTCACCTTAGATCAGTATATTAATAATTATAAATTAAGTCATTTATTTTAATGCCCGATGCTTTGGGACGCTAATTGTTCGCACAGCCGTGCTTCTTATTCTTCATAGCTCTTCATGTATTCCACCCATGTCTTGGATATGGATAAACAGTATGACATTCTGTTAGCTCTATTCATATCTAGTCTAGGAAGTTGGAGCTTGTCACTATTGATTGCAGACTATTTTTACTGTTCTTGTCTCAATTCTTTACATGCCTCACTATTGTTTGTACGAGTCTTTGCCCAGCATGTGTCTGTTTCACGTGTCTCTATTCTATACGGGTCTCTTTCCTTTGCTTGTCTCACTTTTTTGCATCTATCTGTTTTTGCAAGTCACCTTTGTCTCTGCATGCAGCTATTCCCTATTTTCTATCTACTCTTTTACATGTCTCTTTGCTCTACGCCTACGTCTACCTATTCTGTTCATGACATCTATTCTTTGCATATTAAGTCTCATGTCTCCAATGTTTGCATCCTACGGCATCCTTGGTCTTCAACGCACGTGGTTACACATTCACTTGCGCTGTCACACACTCGACCACGTGGTCAACGCATTGGTGTGCCCACAGACACGGACAGACCCTTTCCGGCTTGATGAGTCTGAGAGGAATGCACGGAGTTTCCGACGATGTGGGAAATATCCTAGTGCCAGCGAACTTGCTATTTGTCAGCGTTGTGAACTAGATACCCTTAAGGGTCGGTGCGTGTAGCTAATCCACACGGAGCTCCTAGTTTTACACCGCGATTCTACATTTGGCGGGACTTCGGTACACTACCCTTTCGGTGCAAGCAATCGCACATGGCTTCAGGCGTACGCATACGTACACACGTGCATACCCCAACAAGGCTAACGCGTGATGGGTAAGCAGCGGACGACCGACACCAGAGCTCCTCTGGCCAATGCGAGCTCGTAGCGCAGCCGAAACTCAAAATGCTTTTGATGGATTGCACTCCCGTGCAAACAGGTGTGGTATCTGCAACAATGAGTATCTTCACAGACACTAATAACCACCACATCACCAGTAGAGTATTGTCAGTGCTCGTCTGACCTACATGTGATATACATGCTTGTGCTCAGGTACCTACCAACCAAGACTCGTCGGGCTGTTGCCAATTGACCGTTCACCAGCATCCACAAAGCTGCCAATCAATCGCCACGCGAATTGAGGGTGGCAACTACGCTGATTTATGAATCTGCTGGCCCATGCTACCCCCATCATAGCCACGGTGCTCCATTATATTCATAGAACCCTCATGCACGTGCACAGGATTGTGCGACTGATCGCGATCGGGTATCTCTATAATTGACGCGCTGTCATACCCATCTAGAATCGCAAAAAGAGGAAGTGTACGTAAATAAAACTAGCACGGCTCACTCGGATAGTAGTTGTAACCCGTGACCCTTTTTCAATGTCGAAATTTACATGCTGTAGTGGGTAGGTGCACCTAAGTGCTCGATTAATATTTTTCAAACTCGCTTGAGATGTGAACACTGTTTCTGATGGTATTTTCTCAGTCGGCATTTTTCACAGCTACTACATCTTCGAAATCCAACTACTATATTTACGACTGAAAACTATGCTCCGATAGACTCAACGCCACTCATTCGGAATTACACTCGTGCAAATAGTGCACAACTGGGATACACGTAAACTGGACTATCGGTATAATTTTCTGATACTTTTCTGGAATATGTCCGTAAAAACTATGCGAAGGATAACTTGCACTTATTTTCTGATACTTATCTGAAATATATCCGTGTAAAAACTATGCGAAGGTTGTTTAGTGCGATATAACTATGCCGTAATTTAGTAACTTGCACTTACTATATAATCACAAGTTCAAGCTCGAAAAATATTTGACATAAAGATACCTTTGTCACCTGCGGGCAATTTGTGTCGGTAACGAACGATATGTCCGAGCTCTGATACGTTCGACTCCTTGCAGTACCTGGCCAGCCGCTTCCATTTGGGTGCGAAATAGACCAAAATTAAAGGCAGCGAAATCTGGTGGTGCAACTCTTTTCCAGGAGTGGGCGTATTTTCCTGTGGGGTTGAGAGTGATGTGTTGAAAAGGACCAATATACACTGTATTAGTGGGAATGTGCTGCAAGTAATTGTGCACCCGCTCCAAATTAATCAGATGCGCCCATGCATGCATACTTTCGACAAAACGCGCATACAAGCACATGACAATAAAAGTTGTTACTTACTCTGCTATGTGATTTCGATATCTCTGAGTCGAAATTCTTTGTCATAGGCGGATTGCGCAATGCAGGATGAATGGACTTCTTAAGAATCTGCTGAGTCTGTCTTAGGACACCGTCGATTTCTGCGATGATGTCAACGTCTGATGAATCTTCTCCAAATGGATCTACATGTGCGTAAGCGCTGGAAACAACCCGCGAAACAAATGCAATGATCAGGAAGTGGTGTACGTCGGTTAATTACCCCGGATCTACGTAGAAACACTGCACGCAGTTCTGACTTTCAAATCAAAACAATAGCAGAGCAGGAATTATAAATACATTTTGAACAACTACGAGGGTAAAATAAAACGATAGAAAACGGTTGTATAAAACTGCTTATAACCCCAACAATATATAACGATCACCACGGACTAACCCTGAAGTTCACAAGCTATGCCATATTGAAATCTTGATTTTTTTGCAACTGAGAACAGGACTAGATAGTGACCAGCGTAAGAATCACTATATGTAGAAACATTCTTCAATCTTGCATTCGGGATAACAATAACTTTACTATGAGATGCATATGTAAGCGCACATGGCCGATATACTATTCACCGAAAGCAAGTAGTGAGTATCCCGAAAGCATGATACATGCAAACTCAATTAAACAAGGTATGCAGCCGCAAGTGACGTATCAGAAATAACACGCGCCGTTGTCAGTATTGTGCGTTCACATATATTGCACACCATGTTACTTACATGCAGGATAGGCCCATGTAAGCGAACAGCACCACGATGTATGGCAAAAACACGATCCATGCTTTCTCGGGCTTCTCTGGTATGTATGCTGTGCTATATGCCAGCAGCCCCAGCCAGGAATGAAGAGTCATGACCAGGAAGTGATAGTAACCGAGGGGTGGCGGGAATCTCTACGATGGAGTTGTAATTCGAAATACATGGGTTATAGTGAGTACGCGGAGTGCTTTGGGTGCATTCACAATCGAAATGAAGCTATTTGTGTGGCAACTTTGCATCCGATCCCAGGTATGTGTTTGCTTGATATCTATGCAAAATATATATATGAAATCAACTGAAAAGATCAGCATTTCTTCAACAGTAAACTCAATTCGTAGCTACCTGTACATCCTGCAGCATGGAAGTGTTGGCACGCATGGCCATTATACACTCCTGCATTTCACGAACAGACACCTTCAGGGTGCCCTCGTCTCTAGCCATCTCCAGTGAATCAAACATCCATGACGCCAGCAAATTAGTGGCTTTACCTCTGAATGTCTACAGTACCAATAAGGAACAAAATTGATATGATTCAAGGAGCTTTATCCTATAGGAGAAGAAATACTTTCATACAAGTGATCAGTATTGTTCTATACACATGGTCACACATCCGCAGTTGCAAAATGACCTTGTGCCCGCTCGTAAAACCGCGTGTGTACTACTTTGATCTCGATTCTACAAAAAAAAACCCCCTTATGGCATCGAATATAGGTTAAATACAAGTACTACTCGATTTGCATCGGATATACTACCGAAATGGTGAATAGGAATAGATGCGCATCTGAGCATATTGAAGATAGCCATCTGAGCATACTACATATAGCCTACCAACACAAAGAAGTGTAGCAGCGAGCGTAACCGAAGTAGATTGGGCTTTGACAAAAAAGGTACACAAATAGATCCCAAATCGCAATTGGTTCTTTATTTGTGCCTGATTATACAACCTGCGCAAAGATCTATGAACTGCAGTAGGAGTGTATTGTCTAGCTTTGAGTCCGTCGAATAGAGTTCTCGGACTTCCAATATTCACAGAACATGATCGAAAATATTTACATATGAAGATCCTTGATACGGTCTAAGAACATGAATACAATGGGCTAATGTATGCGTATGTATGTGTGTGTGTGTGTGTGCGTGTGTATTCAAACGTTCATGCATGCGCGAGAATAGACACAAGCGCGTATATATTGATATACTGATATGCAGATTTCAATATTCACATACGTATTTGTACCACATGAGCAGATAAATATGTACATGTATGTTTAATCCTGCACGCATATGCTGCCTACGTATGAAATGATAAACTTCCGCGAAAATGCCCTTACATACATTCACATTTTCACTGTACAATAACATGTTTATGTCCAACAACATCTTCTATGTATAAATATGTACTTCTGAACAAAATTCGTGAGACTCACAAGTGTGCTTGTAATCGCATATGCAAACAGACAAATCAAAATTTAATTACAGTGAAACACATGTTTGAACTCTGTATCTGTACTTCGTTTTGGGCACCAGACTATCGGTTTACAAAATGTCCGGCAATCAAATGTCGGACCTTGGCACATTTGGGTAACAATTCTGCACTCCTGCTCATACATTTTGCAACTGAAAAGTCTGATATTAAGAGCGAATTTTAACTAAACAGTACACAAACTTTGCGTACGTTTTTGTATCAGATAGGTACTTTCAATGTAATAGTAAGTGCCTTAGTGGCAGATGAAGTCGTGCAAATGTAGGTACACATAGCTTAAATGCTCGAAACGGACAAAGTTTTCGTACCCGAATCATTATGTGTACTCTGCTTTCCACATAATTGATTGCCGAAACTACACTACAGTACACGTATTTTGTGCAATCACACCGTGCAATCTTACATACCTTCAGTATTTCAGTCTCTTCCAGAGTGAGTATATTCTTCGCGATCAGGTAATCCCAGTTGGTGACATTGCCCATCGTATAATAGCATATATGATTCATTGCGTTACCATATCTAGCTAATTGCTGAGCCCGTGCCTCGGCACTCTTCCCTTTGAACATACACACGGCCATGCTCACGATGTTAAACAAATTGCCCCCCACTGCGATCATCATCTTCACTTGGTCGTTGAATCGGGACAGTACAGTGTTCAAAAATATCACCATTCCGAAACTCACTAGCGAACCTACTATTGCTAGCGTGCTTGCTGGTATCAGCGGGGCATCGTCTATATGAAGTAGACCTGTTACGCGCATTGCGATAAACATCAGATTCATTGCCAAGAAAAACCAAAACCAGCCGTTAAAGAGTACATATTCCCACAGTGTACCTTTGTACCGAAGCATCGACTGTGCGGGTCGCTTAGCATCGTAGGAGACGACCATAACTTCATATATTTAATTCACTGCTAGTTCGGTGCGTTACTTCTTCCCTCGATGACTGTTTCTCAGCACATATGTAAGAATATGATATTACTGTGGACATATCAGTGTGACCAGACGCATGTGAAGTGTGTAAATATGAAGTATCTTGGGCATTTCTGAATCGTTCAGAGATTCCAGTTTCCATCATTCCGACAAGTCGACAACTGTGGTCATCTCTGATGTTTTTATTTGTAAATACTATGTAAATATTTACGCCAAGAGGCAAGACCGCAAGAGGCTCTCCCGTTCGCCACAGAGGACTGTTTTAGACAGACAGTCGCCAGTCGCCATTCGCCAAGTACCCACCTCTAAATACTCTCTCTACTCTATTTCACTCTCTCAGTCTCTACGACATAGCTCTCTCTCGATCTCTAGTAATAACTAATAACCCCCCCGCGCCCCCGGCCCCAGCCCACTGCCCAGATACTATTTCAGCTATTTATAATAAAAAATTTAAATATGTATAAGCAATTATGCAGTACAGAATGTATGTATGCCTGTGGTCAGATGTATGTATGTACAGTTGTACACTGAGAGATACTGCTCCGCGACTCCGTGAGTCTTTGATAAACATATATTTTTTAATTATAAAATGGACATGACGCACAAATATAGATATTTATGACGCTTTTTTAACATTTTTATTTTTATTATAAGTTTTATTTATAAAAAAATCTGCTTATGTAGTAAATAATGTCCAATATTTATGTACTTCGGCCTTCGCCCTTGGGCCTTGGCCTTCGCCCGTCGGACATCCCCAGTTCCCCACCTTCTAAAATATATACTATTTATTTAAAAAACAAATCAAAAGGGAGCTATTTGTTTTAAAAAAACAAAAACAAAAACAAATTGGCAGAATTTTGTCCCTAAATATTTACACACACAGTCTTCACATGAACCTAAATAGTGAAGGAGATAAATATTATTTATATAGTCGGATATCAGCCGTCTGGGGTGAGGTCCATCAGCCAATCAGATACAATTATGAAACATTATCAGGCTATCAGCAATTCAGCAGTAGATTATGAAATAGAATAGGCTGAATAGTCCTCCACTAAATCTATAAATATTACAGATTAAAACGAACTGTGGCCACAAGTCACAACTCGCACAAGTAATAAACTATCATATTGCAATAGCGGCTATACTACTGTATAAACTTAAAAGACGCTGATAATAAATATAGTCGGCACTTTACCCCTATAAAGTAGTTAATTGTAAACTTCGATGGATATTTCTAAGTTTTAAACTATGTTATATGAACTACGATACAATTTAAGTCAGTTAGGATTTAGCTGTGGTAGCTTATGTAAGAATGATCGGGACTGCCTCTTGGTAAGAGCCTTAATATCCTCGATCACACAGGACGTACCCCTAGCTGTTCTTTATTGAATAACTTTCACTAGAAGTACTAAGTGTTCATGACCACATGTCTAATTTGTAGATAGACATAAGGACGTAAGTCAAGTTACTACATTAACTAATATAAATAAAGTTCTATCTGAAGAAAAGTTAAAAAAAAGAAAACGACTTCTCGGATTTTGGAGATTGGCGGGAAGACCAAAACCTGTAAGTAGTAGTTCAGAGATTATGAAATTTAGTTCATAATATCCTACATCTACTATCGTGTCAAATAGGTCCAAGAAAATGAGTCATACAAAATACTCAGGCTATTGGAGCCATCAAAGTGAATTTAGAACACTTTGGAAATATTGGAAAAAGAACTTGTATTAAATTATTTTCAATACAAATAAAAACCAATGTGTTATCTCAATTGATCTTGATGTTTTAGACTGACCAGAGGCCGTATTTCTACACAATCGTGTAATAAAAAACTTTACACGAACAATATTCATTACCGTTGTCTTACAATTCGATTGCTTGCGAGTATACCTTTTGGGGGCTCGGTCTCTGTTCACCTCTCTCTCTTAATCTCTTGGGTTTCTGTATAAAACATGTTTTAGGGGATAATAGCAAACAATTCATACCACAAGGCAGATGCAGTTCTTCTTGTATCATTGATATCCCGGGATCTACATATCTCTAACAACCACTATTCGACATGTGGGCTCGCATAAAACTCAAAGGATTTATACGATATTATTACAAACACTACCTTGAAGCGATGCACAACGTAGCACGTTCAGTTTCAGCCCTTAAAAATCATAAACCAACGTGTAGCAGCACTATCACAACTTGTACATGTTTTCCTGACGGATGTAGCTCTCTGTCACATATCTTGCTAATAGCTGATAACGCTGCAGAATTCTATACGGCAAAATGAAAACACTGTATGTTGTACAATGCCGCGGTGTCTTTCAATCGCATCCACCATACAGAACAATTCAAAACGCTGAGGCCAAATATTGTGCTCGCTTCTAAGTAAGAGTGAACAGGGTTCTATTTTATAACCTTGCAGTTTAAATTTTTTGGTTGTTGCTCCGTCTAGCTGACACATAGTTGTGGTATTGCCATGTAATCAACGTCTCAAATCGTTCTGTTTTGCTCATGAAACTTCATGTAAAGCTTAGGCAGTTATCTTTTCTGAAATTCGTAGCTCCATCTCCCGCGCACATTCTATACACTCGTCCTAATTTTAAAAGCTGTATTGTCTATAAATCTGTCAGTAACTGAGTCCTCATCTGTATCATGTTGTTTTATTATCTGGACCAGTTATTCCTTCGTACCCTTTGTTGTAAACGTGCTTTTTCCTAATACCAATGTATCCTTAATCATTGAAAGTTTGTGAATAGTGATTGCAGCTGTTGATGGTCAGGTAGTAGTGCAGGATGTAAGATGGTTCGATGTCACATCGACCATCCTCGCGCTTCGTTGTCCTCTGAGTTTAATAAACGTGTATATTCGACCATCTATTTTCTGAGTTCATCTGATCTTGTCTGCACTTTCAACAAATAAATAAACAAATCTAATGTATAATCTGTCGACATGCGTGCCATGCAACACGCTCGATAACTCACCGACTCTATAATGCTCTTTTAAAGTTCCACCGTGTCCTCAGGGTTGCCCGCGACACTTCAAACATCATTGTGCGTATACCCTTCACGATGAGCAGGCGCGGAATCATAGGTAGTCGACAGTACATCGTATAAGAAATACTGACTGTACCTTTATACTGTATTCACATAATCTTCATTTTACACGATGGTCACGCATGTAACTGTCGTACATCCCAAAAATTAAATATAACCGAAACCAGCCTAAAAATAATTATATAATGCTGCTGCCGTAAATAAACCGCCTATTGTTAGTATCCAAACAACAGTCACCAGTCGACGTACGATTGAGTCATGCATGAATTTGGGAATTAGTATTTTTCAAATTTAATCTAGTGACTTTCTGGTGTCCACCATGTGCGTTAAATACTGCTGAGCTGATGCCGGCAGCTACTGGCGTACTTGTAGAATTTACATCTGTAAGGCTTGCCATCAGCCTTAGTGCTCGATATGGTGTCCATGAGAATTTCTGTTGGTGTTCTAGCAATACACCTTCGAGAAGTTGTACTTCTGGTAAATTTAAACTCTTCATAGTGAACTCTTCATATGATCGATATATGTCGTCCTGAATTCCCCGCTATAAGTGTTGCACTTAGTCACACGCATATATTGAAATCGTATGTAATTTGTCCACGAGCTTCTATACAGTGATGTATGGCCCAGCCCCGGACGGCCAAACAATATGAACTTGTACCATTGTTTGTATATTTGTTACAATCGGACCTCACTTATAGATTTCGATTTGTTGGTGTAAACTTCGATAGATATTACTAAGTTTCAAACTATGTTAAAAACCCTAAGATACAATTTAAATCAGTTAGTATTGAGCAGTGGTAGCTTCTGTTAAGATGGGACTGCCTCTTGGTAAGAAGCCTAATATCCTCGATCACACAAAACCTACCTCTAGCTGTTCTTTATTGAATAATTTTCACTAGAGGTACTAAGTGTTCACAGCCACATGCCTAAGTTGTAGATAGACATAAAAACGTAAGTCCCATTAATACATTAGCTATAGGAGCTGTGAGCATAAAAAGGGGGGGTTTTTTAGACCGGACGCCAAAAGACATTTGCCTGAGGTACACGTCCCGTTCTACAATAATAATTCTAATACGGGAGCCCGCCAAAAGGTACATACTGATATGTGACTGTAAGTTGTAAACTTGTAATTTCAAATGGTTGTTCCCTCGAGTGTATGTACATAAACCGTGATACACACACGCATAACTGTATTTATAGTACAACTATCCACTGCAGTAATGAATCATTGCTTTAGTAATGACTGGGATAGTCAGCCCGTAGCATGTTGTACTTGTAAGAAGAACCCAACCCGGCAGAAGATCTCAGTTTATGCACTTTGTGTCGTGTTAAGTGGCGCTATCCATGTCACAGACCTTGTGGGAAGGGTGAAGCTTATATAATAGCTTATGAGGCATGGTCCAATAGGCGTCTAATCTGTTGCCTTCTGAAGGAAGAGTTGAGGCACAGACTTTGTATTGGTTGTACGTGTGAACTTGAAGTCGCAGTGAGATTATCTGAGGAAATCGTAGCACTGATCACCACCAAATTAGTTGGGAAGGGTATACGTATAGAAGAGCTCCTAGAGACCGTTGCCAACGACGATGGAGCCAAAAAGAAGAAGCACAAGAAAGTGCGAGTGATGTACGACGCAAAGCAGAGCTTGTAGCTGAGCGCAAAGCGCTGTCTGTAAAGGACATATGCATGTGTGCAAATATAGAGTGATGTATTCAACTGAATGATCACGTCACCACACTTTCGACAGCTAAAAATGGTGAATTGCGCAAGCAGTGGATTGAGGCACCCTATCCTCTACTAGATGTATATGAAGTGTGGTCACTTATTACAGTACAACAACACCAATATCAGCTGACATTCGAAAAATAATTCTAGACACAGTCATGTCAATACTTCAGCCACGCCTAAAAACAATCAGAACCACTACATCAGAAGAATCAGCAACAAATTCACCCACAATCGAGCTCACTGACGCA